GTCAGCCTTTCGTGGTCGACAGAACAGGACGTAAAAACACAGCAGATCAGTCATCCAGAACGCTGCTGCTGCTGTTCTGACTAAAACCAGGAAGATAGAGACATAACACCAGTTTTAAAGTCCCTACACTGGCTTCCTGTAGCTCAAAGAATAGACTTTAAAATACTGTTGTTAGTTTATAAATCACTGAACAGTTTAGCACCACAATACATTAAAGATCTGTTATTGCTGTACCAACCGTCTAGACCTCTCAGATCTTCTGGTTCTGGTTCTGCTCTGCATCCAGAACCAGAACCAAACAAGGAGAAGCAGCATTCAGCTTCTATGCACCACAAATCTGGAACAAACATCCAGAAAACTGAAAAACTGCTGAAACACTGAGCTCATTTAAATCCAGACTAAAACCTCTCCTGTTTAGAGTTGCTTTTGAAACATAATAAATGGAACATTGATCAATATATTCAATGTGTTTTGATAATTTTAACAATGGCAAAATGAAATTTTATTGCTTTTCACAACTGTTGACTTTATGATGCGTTTTTAATTTTAGATTATCAGACGTACTTCTGCGTAGTCAAACAGTGCAGGTAATGACAGAACTTCCTCAAGAGATTCTAGTGACTTTCTCTCTGAATGCTTATCATTTATTTGCTTAGCATTTATTTGTAAATAACCACCTCATTGGAAATGCTCATAAGATAAGAACTGGATTTATTGTAGCGATACTTTAAAATTAACTATGTTTGAAACCATCCAAAACTATTATGATTTCAACATTTTCACAAAGTGAAAAATGGGATTATTAGAGCTCACTGTATCTATATGAAGATGCTGCACTTTTTCAAATCAAAGGATGTCTGTGTCTAAATAACTTTTTACACTTTTATGAGTCACTGCGATCAATCAAAGTCCTATTCACCTTCTCAAACAGGCCATCTCAGGGTCAGAGATCCCTAAATAGCATGACAGGTTGAGCCAGATGCTTTTATTTTCAGCGGTCATGGCTGATTATTTAAAAATCAACCCTTAAAATAAACATCTAAAGGTTTGCTTCCTATTGGCTGCTGACAGTCGTAACTGAGCGGAGGCTTACGGTTTCACTTTGAACACACCGCGAGTCTCGGTACCATCTGTAACTTAATCAGGCAGCAGCAGAGAGGCCTTCATTTGACATAGAGACAGTTCATGTAGATCAGTGTTTCTCAACCCTGGTCCTCACCGCCCCCCTGCTCTGCATGTTTTAGATGTGCCTCTATCCCAGAACAGCTGATTCAAATGTTTGCATGACCATCAAGTACTGTAGAAGCCTGTTAATCACCCAGAGATGCAATTCAGGTGTGTGGCAGAAGGAGTGTTTTTTTTTAGAAGCAGTTGACTAAATGGAAGAAAAAAATGTGGATAAAGTGAATTTTGCATAATGGGTTCCATTGAAATTTGTTGTTTGTGCTGTTTTTAAATCAAATCTGTGTCCTGCCGATGGAACAGGGCATGGTTTTTGGTTTTCAGCTGAAATTGTCTTCGTGGAGAGTGGAGACATCATTCAGGGGCTCTTGGGTAATTCTGCTGTGAAGACTGACGATGTGATGGATGCAGTTTTTGTTTTTCTGTTTCAACAACCGGGTTCATTTCTAAAGAGAACCACAAGGATCCAGACTTGCATGTTCAGAACCCCAGTTGGATCTGAGCTTTGGGAGCTGTTGCTACAGGCTGCTATCCCTCTGTCTTCAACCAGCTGTCTGTAATCTGAAGACCTCGTGTCCTGGTGAAATTATTGAGGGGAGGGCAGCTTTAAAGCTAGAGAAAAGCTCTTAAACGCCTCCCCCCATTACAGCAGAAATGTTGATGAAACATGACAAACACACTGACTTATTGGAAAATAACTGTGCAGGCGCAGAAGAAGAAACCAGGGTGTGTGTTGGCCCTATTCTTGATTTCTATTTCAGGTCCAAATGAATGCTGTGCAACAGGTCAGTGATTAATGTGAGGGTTGCACCAAACCAGCAACAGCTGCACACCAAAATATAGCATTTCATGTAAATTAAACTCATTTTCTCGTGTGACCCAGTGATTATCAGCAGTAGTAAGGAGTTGGGTGGGTGGATATCTCGGGGGTTTAATGCCTTCCAAAGCGAACGTTGTGAATGCTGTGGCGGTCAGGCTATTCTTAGCCGTAACCTTCGCTGTCCTGGGTATTCTAGGAGTGTGTGTGTGTGTGTGTGTGTAGGAGAGTGTGTGTGAAAAGTCACCATGCTGATTAATAACTGGTCAGAACCTGGATGTTCTCAACGTCTAGGTCTGGTTACACTTGCTTGTTTCAGGGGGATGCCGTGCATTCCCATTCTACTGCCAGTGAATCATTTAAAGGAACAGTTCCACGTTTTAGTGAATGAACTGAAGTCAGACCAGCAGATTAATTTACATCAATCTACACTCCAAAACCACAAAATCCTAACAAGTATTTGTTTAGTTTCTGGTGCAAAGCGTGAAGTACGACAAAACTAACTTACGAATAACTTTTTTAGCAAGATATAAGAGCTTGTTTTAAGTGAATAATTATTCAATACTGATTAAAAAAAAGTGTAAGCTTCATGTAAATAAAAATGTCTTTTTATAAGTGAAATGATCTGTCTTAATGCTTTTTATCAATATTAAAAAATTACTGACTTTAAACAAGGTCCTATTTCTTGCTAAAAAGTTATTAGTTTTTTGTCTTATTTCAAGTGAACTAATAAGATATGTGCCCTATAGAAACTAGACAAAACTACTTGGAAATGTTTTGTGTTTATGCAGTGCAGTAACAGTTTTTAAAGTTTACGTAAAAACAAAGATTTGAAATTTAAAGCAAAAGGATTTGCCTTTATTTTTCTGTTCAACAGTGCTTTCCAAAAGTATTCATACGTCTCCACAAAGTTTTCCACATTTAGTCATAGTAGAAACACAAACTTCCATGTGTTTCACTGGGATATTATGTAATACACCAACACATAAATATTTGCAAAGTCTGAAACGCATTTGTATTCAACTGCTTTTAAAATTTGCAGATTTTTGTTTACAAGTAATATAGAATAAAATCTATTATTTTTCATCCGTTTCAGAACTTGCGTTTGATTGTCACCAAAGAGGCACAAACTGCAATTTTCTGGCTGATCACAAATCTTTAAATAGCTTTAAATCTTTAAATAGCCGGATCTGCTGATTCCGATTTTGTCCAATATCGATTTTCTTATTTTTGTCTGAAAAAATGTTAAATATAGCTACAAAGAAATAGGTTGGCATTAGTGGGGTGACTACTGCTAATCACATATGTGGCTGATTTTCAGAGCTTTGCAGAGGCAGACAAGATTGATGGATAAGACTGGTTTTTCATTTGAGTATCAGCCGACTGTTGATCTTCCAAAAATAAGAAAACTGGTGTCGATTTATCAGTGAACTGCCACATAAAATTCAAACAAAATTCATTAAATAAAAAGACCAATTGTAAAAAATCTGGAAGACATTTGGAAGGTCTGTGAAGTTAAATTCTTCATGTTCAGAAATCTCCATTTATTGAATAATTACAAAAATTAAAGTTAGACTAGAGTTTTCTTAAGCTAACCAGGAAAGTAGCCGCATGCAGACCAACCCTGTGGGAGGCTGCGTTTCAGGAAGAGGTGACTAATCATGCGACTGCTGCTCACAGCTACGCTCTACATGTGAGTGTGTCCTTGAGCGAGAACCAGACTCTGAATGACTTTCACTGTCAACACAGACATCAAATAAGGCGTCAGCAAATTCACTAGGAGCCACATTTAAAAACCCAGGAATATCAGTTACTATTAAAAGCAGCTAAATGCAGCTAACATATTCATTTATACTGCAACGTAAGCAACGTTTACCTTTTCTTCCCAAATGGGACGAAGCAGATGGAGCAGATTATAGCTGAAAAACAAGCTTTCATTAGGCTGAATCGGTCTGCAGAGAACCTGGTTTTATGGGTAATAAGTGGACATTTCAAGATGCAAATATGCAGTTAAACCGAGATTTAATTGAAGGGATTTATTTAAAAATAACACGTAGCAAAAGTTTTCAAAGAGTAGACAGCTGCTGATACTGATGCTGTGTGTGTGTTTTTGTTGTAATACCTTGTGGGGACCATTTTCCTGACACATAGAACGTCGTGGGGACCCACTGCTCCTTGTGGGGACTGTTTTGGTTAGGTATGTAATGGATAGGGTTAGGATAAGGTTTAGGCTGTAGAAGTGAATGGAAGTCAATGGAAAGTCCTCACAAAGATAGCCATGCAAACATGTTTGTGTGTATTGTAATTGGAAAACAACCAATAGTGTTATATTTTTGTCTTATTTCATTGTATATTAATTTTTGTAACTTGTAAAAGGACTGCAGATAGGAATTAGCTTTTGCTATAATCTTGTTAATCGCATCAGATTGCGACATTTATGTTTAAGTTGTGCCATTATAAATAAAATTCATTATCTATGCTGTAGTCAAATTTCTGTTGGAAATTATTTTGTAAATTAAATAAAGTTACTTAAATTATGGGAACCATTATTTGGATTCAAATACTAAAGTGAGACTTTTAAGTTAAATTCATGCTACATTTAGTTTAGATGTACTTTAAATGTATTTGTTTTAAGGTAAAACTGTGTGGGAATGTGTTATATATATAAAAAAGACATTGTGCAATCCTGCAGCCTGACGTCCGAGTGGATGCTCATTGTGAGCACCAGAGCTGGACTGCAGAACCAGAGGGATTGCGACATGGAGCCGAATAAACAGCGTGACTTCAGGTGTCAGGAGGCTTACCGATTCCTCTGGCGGCCGCTTGATTTTGGCCCAGTCCACTGAGGGACCTTTGACCTGCAAGAATCTGTGGAAGAGGTTCTTGAAGCCATCAAAGTCTTTTCTGGAGACCTGAAATAAAACCAACCAAAGATTAGTTGTCTCTGATGGAAAACAGGTTTTTCTTCATATTTTGTTTAAACCGAATAAACAGTTAAACAAACGATCTTTGTTGCAAAGAAAAACTTCTCAAATGGAGAAGTTTGGAGCCTGGATGTGGGAATGAAATTAAAAAGTACGAGCCGGTGAGAATTACTAATTGATTTGTTCGTTTCTCAATCTAACGGCCGTTATTGACACAAGCCAATAATATCTTTCTCTGCATTCTTAAACCCTGCAGCAACATGCAGTGATAATGTTCAAACTAGAGATGCACCGATACAATATTAATATCTGTAATGGTACCAATATTGAAAGAAAATTTGAATCGGGCATTGGTGACAATGTGCTGGATTGATAAGGGCAACTTTATGTTTTGTTATTTTACATTGTATTTAGAATTCCTTATTGCACTTTCTGAACCATTTGAAATATTTGTAGCAGTTTATTTGGTCGTCAATCTATTGTTTTAATCAGTTTCAGTTTCTTTTATTTATTTTAATTGGCTGTTATTTTCCTAATTGCACTGACTGAACAAATTAAAGTTGTTTTTACTTGTTGGACCATGTAAGATGTGTGAAGTGATTGGTGTATTTATCTGCTGTACCGGTGCAGTTATAAAACCAATTTGTCTGTGTTTAAAATAAGAAATGTTTTAGGTGATTTCAGCACCATCTTTCTGCATCGGTATCAGAAGTGACAAAAAAGGATTGTTCAGAAAATTAGTGCAAAATGTTGATTAAACTGTTTATGGTTGTCTAACAATAACTTTTAGATGGATGGCAGATCTTTATTGGATCTTGACCTTTGTGGGATTTTAGAAAATGCTGGACATTCTGACTTCAGCAGAGCTTTCTGTAAATTTTTACAGATTGAGATTTGGATTTGAGCTCTCTTTCTGGGTAAAAAGGGAACTCAAAGTTCAAGTCCTCATGTAAAATGTCTGTCATATTTCCCATTTTAGTAATTAACGAGACAGGAGCTGCTATAAAAAGTCTGAGAACCACTTAAAAGACATTACTCCATTACCAAGAACTGCAAAGAACAAAAGCTTAATACATAAAAAATTGTGGAAGAAATATTTTGATGGAAAAATTGACAAAGATGGTAAGGCTACAAGAAGCACGACTGTGCAAAAAATGAAAAAAAAAAACTGACCTTTTAATAAGACTTTACATGAATGAGAACTGGAATAACTGAAAAACATACTAATCTAGTAAATTGTCAGGATATTAACATTTCCATTGTTCAGTTTCTTTGTTTTACTTGTTTGTTGAAAAAAGACAATAATAAAGATTTAAGTGACATAAAAATAGCTTCGAGTTGATAATTTGTCATAGACAATGTTCAAATATTTGCATTAAAAGGATTGACGCCTCCTCCATCATCAAACTTTAAAAACAATACTGGTATCCCTTTGTGTTGTCTATGTTTTCTTATAAAGATATAACTATTAACATAGACTACATAATTTAAAAAAAAACACCTTTTTTTAACCAAATAACTGACCCAAATTTGGTGCACCAGTGACGAGGCTGGGCTGGAAAATAGCTAAGACACAACTAAAGTGTTAGAAAGTTTCAGAAATATCAAGAAAATATTTGTAATATTTGAAAAACTTGTCTTTAAAACAGGCAGAAGATGCCAGTGCAGTGTTTGTTTTTCTTAAACAGGCCATTTCAACATCATGTGTGCGTTTGGGTCAGAACTTAAAGGTTGTTTATCTCGATTCCTGCGTAGCCGTGTTTTCAGACAGAAGCTCTGTCGGACTTTCGGTTTGCAGGAACACTTGTTCTGCAAACAGTTACTCAATACATGTAAATACAGATAAACCAGTCCATGACTCTTGTTCCACTATGTGGCCCACACAGTGGAACAAGAGTCATGGACTATGACAAATTTGTCATGCACAGAATAAACATGATTAAAGTGCATAAACCTGCAAACAAACAAGAGCTTAATATTCCTGCATGGTTTCACCTGCAATTGGAGTTTTGAGGACGTTTCTGCAGAGGTTTACCCACCTCAGCTTCAGCTTTGTTGGCCGTGGCCAGCAGCGCCTCCAGCTCCTGATGCATGGAGGCTTCATGCTGCTGACGGAGCTTCTCCTCAAACTCCGTCATCGGTCCTCTGATGAGAGCTGGAAACGCACACAAAGATCTTCCTTTTTACTCCCTTGGAAACAAATGAGCTACTTATCTTTTTGCTATTGTTATTTATTCTAATTAAAAGCAATATTAGTAAAAAAAAATTGTCATTATCAAACTTTTTTTTTTACACGTCTGGTAAGAAAACCTTTCTGAAAAGTCCTGATGACTCTCCTAGCAGGCAGTAAACTTACCGTCTACCGTAAGCGACATTTTTACCAGAGTCTGTTTAAAGAACAAAGATTACGGTAACAAGCTGTGGAGACTGTCAGCAGCTCGCAGGTTTTACTGGCAGGTCAAGCAGCTCACCAAGAGTCCTTGCATGCATTAAAAAGTCAAAAATGGTCCCTAGTTAAAACCGCAGCGCCAGTCTCTGTCCCACAACAATACACAGCCTCCTCATCCTCAGCTCAGAGGAAGCTCACACACTCTGGGCTGTGATTCTAATCTGAGCGCAGGGCCGGCCCACAGACACACACACCAATCACACACAACCAGAGAGAGTGTCAAAGTGTGTGTTGGGAGTGTCTCCGTCAGACCTCTTCCAGATCACACTCCACAACACTTTAAAGTTTTGGGGTGGAACTTCAGGCGCTTACAGCTGATTACATTTACAACTAAATCATCTGGATAAAATTTAAGCAGCATTACTCTGTAAACATTATTATTATCTTGGCTTTTCTTCTTTGATTGGCATGCCCTGTGGTAGTCTCAAATACACTCAAACATTTGGGCAAATTAAAAACAAAATAAGTATCAGAAATAAATAGACTTCCATTTTAATAAAAGAGCAAGAATTCAAAGTGGAGTAGTCTGCATCTTTTTGATTAAAGGTTCTGTTTTGAAAAATTGTTAGGTTTTAAGGTTTAAAGAAAGGCAGGTTTTAGAGAGTTAAATAAAATACTCCCAGAAGCCAAACATCATTTTTAAAAATGTATTTTAATGTTTGCAACCGCATTCAGATTTTTTAAAAAAGCATCTATTTTCCATTAAAGGAGTAAAAATTAATGTTTAAGTCGCTGACAGAGGCTTTCACTAAAGTAGACCTGGAACAGGTGCAATGTAATATTCAATATTTTGGCATCAAAAACAAGTAGATGGAGAGATTTAAACAGTTTGTTTTTGAGGTCAAAAGGTCAAGCTTCTAAGGCCCAAAGGCATTTATAATCTCGTAATAAAGCAACTATTTGGGTAAAGCCAGCTTGGAATACTCAGATTCATCACATTATATGTGTTTTTAACATTTCTATAGCTTCAGTTGGGGATTTAAATATCATATAAAAGATAATTAAATAGGTTGCTTTGCTAGAAAATACACCTATCTGGTCTTAAAATGGCCCTAATGATGTTTCAAACTTTAATAATGTGTGTATGCAAGTTCTGTAACACGTAAAACCACAAACACAAATGCACATTGGTTTGACATAGATTCAGGGCAGAAGCACACGACTCGGTGCATTTAAATAAAGCATGTCAGACCACAGCCGTGAAAAAGGACACCAAACTTGCACTAAGAGCTACATTTCTCTCTAGCGAAGCTCTTACCCACCTGCTCAAAAAGTCAAAGCCTAAAAAAAGAAACCTTCCGCGGTTCGGACTGACAGTTTCACACTGGGTACCATGGACCAGCTGGGACAGAAAAAAGGCGAGTAACAAGGTGGAAACTGGCAGCGGCGTCATCACGCCGCCCGAGAAGCTTAGCCTGTTGCTTCTGCAGCGCGAGCCCGTCCCTCACTCTAACGGTAGTGACGTAACGGCAGGAGCTGGAAATCACGGCCGCTATTGGTCGAAGGCGTTCGTCAATGTTTGCCCCGCCCACTGAGGAACTCCATCATAGACATGAATACGACTCGATCACCGATCAAGTCAAAACGAGTTTCTTTTACTTTTATGTTTTCGTCCGGTCAACAGCTAATAAAAGCAAAATATATTAAGTTATAAAAAAGCACAAAAACTCTGGAAATGTAAAAAAAATTATTTTTTCTGATCGATATCGACATGTAACTTGATGTTACTGTCAAATTAGTACAGTATGTTAGTAACTTACATTAACTCAGAGGTGGGTAGAGCACCCAAAAAATGTACTCGAGTAAGAGTAGCACTACTTCCTCATATTTTACTCAAGTAAAAGTAAAAAGTAGCCATCCAAGAATTACTCAAGTGAGAGTAAAAAAGTATTTGGTAAGTCTATTCAAGTACTAAGTAACTGATCAAATCATTAATAGTTCAATATTTAAAAATAACATGAACAGAGGGATCAAAATTGAATTTTTGGTATTTTAAGGATGGACATAATTCATATAAGCAACAAAAAAAACTAATCAGACAATTTTTCCCCCAAAATCAGTTTCTTTTAATAATAAACTTTAACAAAGTTGATTATTATTAGGTATGTGTCTGTTTCTGGTGAATTTTGGCTTAAAACGTTTTTGTTCTTCAAGTAAGAGTAGCAATACTTCATAATAAAATTGCTGAAGTAAAAATAAAAAGTTGCAGTGTGGTAAAAAATACTTTTTTTTTCAGATTACTCAAGTAAATGTAATTGAGCAAATGTAAATAGTTACTACTCAACTCTGTTGCATTTACTAGAGTACCTTTTAGAAATAGAAATGTTACTTGGAGTACTTTTTACTTCTACTTGAGTATTAAGTGTCGCCACCTTTACCCGAGTAGTTTCTAGATACTCCACCTACTAAATAAAGAGCAGGTTTTACCCAAAAACAAACACACTACCTCATGTTTGTACACAAACTCTATTGGTTTTTAGTAATCAAGATAAACAATATTATATCCGATTTATATTGAACTTGAAATTATGCCGCCCCCGTGTGGTTGCCGTCGTCTACTGTAAGCAACCGATGGACAAAAGGCTGTTACAAGTATGTAAAACTGAGTGTGTAAAATGTATACAAAGCATACTATTTGTTTTATGTGAAGTGCTAAACCTTTGAGCTCTTGTTTTAGCTCTGTTTAAAACAAGCAGAGAAGTTTAGGAGCGGGCTGAGGTGCATAGTTGTGAGAGTGATGAGAACTGATGAGGCTGGAGAAAGTTGGTCAGATTTCTTAGTTTTATTGAAGAGAAGATGGTTCGTTACAGTTTCTGCACAGCTAATGTGTGTGTTTTCAGCTACTAACAGAGACGTCTTGGTGTCTTGCACACACGCACACAGGTCAGGCCAGGTTGTGGAGGTTATAGCAGGTTTTCTGGAAACCTGAAGAAGGGGCCAAGTTACACACACACACACACACGCTTCCACACATACTCTCAGAGGTGACACACAGACTCCAGCTCAGATGGTTTAGCAGTGGAGGACATCTTCAGAGGCGAGAACAGCCAGGATGTAAGAGCTGCTGCTGGTCAGCAGGAGGGGACAGTCACTTGGACAGGAAGTCCAGGGCCGTGTCTCGCTCCTCCACCAGCTCTGCTGCTGTGGCGTCCATCTTGGCTCTAGAAAAGTCATTGATGTCGAGACCATCCACTATTTTCCAGGACTTGTTCTGGGAATTAGAACAGAGAAAACACTTTCAGGGTTCGTACACTTATCCGACAGTAAAGTTCAAGTATTTACAAGGCAGGTTTCCAAACTTTTCCAGCACCACACCTTGGAGATAAAAATATAAACGAACTAAAAAACTGTTTCAATTTAACATTTTCTAATCTCATCTATTACTGTCATTAATAAGATCTTGTGATAGTATTGTACATTCTACAGAGGGGACAAGGTAAACTAAAATATAACAAACACTTATGTTTTGAATAAAATGCCTCTCTAACACACACCATATAGACCTGACTGATCCAATAAAACTTAAAAAAAAAAAAAAAAACTGAAAAAGATGGATCTCTCTAAGTAAAAATTATGTCTTTAAAAAAAATTCTCACCAAGTTTTCAGGCATTTAGTAAATAAAAATATTTTTGGTAATTCCAACTGACCTAAAACAAGAGAAATGCGGCCTGATGTAACTTCAGACAGTGAGAAAAAAAATCATGCTTTATTATCTCTTCATATCTGGTTACAACTGTACATAACGTCTTTCAAATGTAGGTTTTTAAAGAAACATTAGATTGCACTTTATTACAAATTTCAAACATTTTCAAGGATTTCGCAAACCCTGCACTTTGTGTATGATACTTAAAAGTTTTTAAACAAGTGCTTTTCTTTTCACTTAAAAGCCTCAGTTTGACAAAAAGAAACATTTCTCATTCAAGAAGGTTTAAGGTTGTCAGAAAAAAACTGAATATGTTTAGAAATACAGTTGAGTGTCCTAACCCTTTGAAACTGAACAGCCTGATTCCATCAATCGTTCTCATACTGAAATGGTTTTGAGATCCAGCTCACCTTGATCTGGACAGGGAAGGAGTAAATGAGGTCCTCCGGGATGCCGTAGGAGTTTCCAGCAGCATACACACCCATGGAGATGAACTCACCCTGCAGGTCACAAACAGAGAAACTATTTATAGTAGTTTAAACAACAGAGAGTGATGCCAACTTTAAAAAAGTTTGGCTTCTCATCACAGCCATATTTCACATCTTGAAATTGATACCGGTCTCTTTAAGAAGCTCAAACTCTGCTAAACTCATTTTCAGATTCACAAAAATGGTCTTCATCGTGGCTTTTCTAGCATAATGAGCAGTTTGTATAAGCTCAGCAGATTTGCAGTTCCACCAGGTGTTTGCTAATTGCTGTTAGCAAACGCTTAGGCATGAATGGTTGCTCCGGGAGATTCAAGGATTCCTCAAAGCAACAAACTTAGTGTGTTTTTGATTAGAGAATAACATTGTAACATGATGTAAATCTAAAAAAAACCCAGTTGATTTTACATAATACTCCTTAAAGATGCAGCCAGAGCTAAAGTGGTTTAAATCAAACATATTCAAGTGTTAGAATGGCCTAGTCGAAATCCAGACCTAAATGCAATTGACAATCTGTGTGAAGATTCAAAATTAATGTTCAGGGAAACTGATTGAGCTTTAAATAATTAGCAAAGACCTGACAAAGATGTTTGATAGACATACTTGTTAATAACTACCAGTATAAAAAAGAAAAACAAAGGTTCTGATTTTTATTTTGAAAAAATGAAAACTAAAAAAAGTTGTTATCCTAAGAGTTCCTGCTGCCGAGAAATGAAAGCAGCATTTTTTTTTTATTTTTTTATTTCAAACATAGTAGCAGTATTAAAAAAAACAGACATGAACAAGAAATGCAAAACACATATTTTTGTACCACAATAATCTTAACATGCTCGAAAAGGAGTGGGAGTAAAAACAAACTTATGAAGTCCTACCCCATGAACTCATACCATGTTTTCAGATGAACCCTCAAAGATTAATTTTCCATTGTGTCGATTTTTTTCTTCTTCTGGAAATAATGATTTTTGTCAAAGTAACCACTTCCTGTCCTTTCTGCTAACACTGACCTCCTTGG